GAGACAGTGCGATTGGCACAGGATAGAGCAGGGTTTAGGGCTGTTGTACATAGGGTCGCTATGAGTCACAAACTACTCGACGGCACATAACAACAACAACAAATCTCACCGGAGGACGTGGCCCATTTTTCTCCCCCAGAGCAGCTAGCAGATTTGAACTATCTGCCTTTTGAGGTGACAGCGCAGCTCCTTACCCTCCAGACCACCCTAACCACTAGAGCTGTAGTAAGATACTATTTGTCTTTTCCATTGTATTGACTTTTGCTCAGATAGTACAAAAGTAGCGATGTGTAAAACTGTTGGGATGTTAGCATGACTCAGACTGGACTAGTGTGTATTCTTGGTCACTGTGCACTCAGAGTTAAAAGGGAAAATTCAAAGGCAGACGCTTCCTTGGTGAAGCAGTAACAGTTACTCATTTTAGCAAATTTTGACCCGTAATTGTACATCTTGGTAGTCTTCTGTGTGAAGATACGGGAAATGTGCTTCTCCTGCACACAGCAGAGGGTGCTGGTTAGGGAGCGCTGGTGGCCTAGCGGCATAATGCTACACTGCAATCCCGAAGGCGTGTGGTTCGAATCCACTAGATGCTCTGTTGGAGAAAGAGGTGTGGTCTCCTCTGGTGCCAGTCAGATCCGATTCAACACAAAAAAGGGGGGGAGGAGAAAAGACAAAGTGCGTTAATTGTCTTGAGGAAACACTTGTGCGGCTGCTTGAATTGCTAGCTAAACTAGGTGCCCTTTTAAAAAGTATGAACCATTTTACTTGAAAGAAGGACTGGCAAACAGACAGTGGTTACATTTTCTTGAAAATGGACGGTGCTGTATGGTCCTTGGATGAAAATACTCAGAATCACTGCCGTTGAGTTGGTTCTGACTCTGCAGCCTTCCCCAGGGTTTCTGAGGTTTCATTAACAGGAGTGCACTGTCCGTCTTCCTCCCTTGGACTTGAACTTCTGGTGTCTCAAAGACACCTGGTTTTTGGGTTAGCGGCATAGCTTGATATGAATGCCCCGCCTTAGGAAAACAGTTGACGGAATTTGTTGCTGACGATAAAATGCAAACTTGCACGTAAAAATCAATTTTTAAAAACTTGTCTGTGGTGTCATGAGCTGCTCCATGGTTATGGAGTTTTCTGATCATTTTGATCTGGCGATGGGATCTGACGAGATCATGTTAATGAATACCTGGCATTTCGGTCCAAGCTCAGTGACGGAGTCAGTATTTACCACCTGAGCAGAGTGGCTCATTGACGTTGAGTTGGAACCTCCAGCAGCTGGTTTCCAAGGCTGAAAGGTGCAAAGGCGATGTTGTCACTGGCACACTGAGACCTGCAGGGAGGCGTCTCCTTTGACCTGAGGTCTAATTCTCTAGAGATGACTCTTCCGGAGCTCCATGGGTTTGATGCAGTCATCCATGGACGAAAGAACAAGACAAAGTGCAAGTTAAAGCAGTGCATCTTGATGTTCCAAAATCAAGAATGTTTATTGATGCTTTTCACATTCCATAATACAGCTAAGCTGGACGTTGACAATATTTACAGCAAAAAGATGTTTTTGTTTTTAATGGGGGAGATATAGTTGGTTTGTTGTTGTTGGTTTTTTTTTTCCTAAAACTATGTGAGGAGTACTGAAGAGCAACGATGTCAGTCTGGAGACTAAGGTACCCCTGAACCAGGATGTAATCTTTGCAATTACTTGTGCATCAGAAAGCTGGACAGTGAAGGAGAATTGATGCCTTTGAGCTGTGGTGCAGGAGAAGAGTATTGAATGTACCATGGGCTGCTAGCAGGACAGACAGGTTCATCCTAGAGAGGGTGAGACCAGGCTGCTCCTTGGAGGCAAGGATTCTGAGGCTTCGTCTGACATACTTTGGACATGTTGCAAGGAGGGACCAGTCCTTGGAGAGGGACATCATGCTTGGGAGGGTGGAGGGACAGCGCAGGACGGGAAGAACAGTGCAGGACGGGAAGACCCTCCATGAGATGGATTGATTCAGTGACTGGGGTAATCGGGATGGATGTGTCAGAGGCAATGCGATTGGCACAGGATAGAGCAGGGTTTAAGGCTGTTGTACATAGGGTCTCTATGAGTCGCAGGCAACTTGATGGCACATAACAACATGTTAGGAGGGGCCCTTCCTTGGAAAGACGCGCTGTTCTTGGAATAGTGGAGGGTCAGCGAAAGAGAGGAAGACCCTCACCGAGATGGGTTGACAGAGTGACTGTAACAGTGGGCTCGTGTAAAGCAGAGATGGTAAGGATGGCACGGGATGGGGGTGCATTCAGACCCGTTGTTCATAGGGAGTGCTGGTCGATTCGTTGGCACCTAGCACAACAACAACAACATTTTCTGTGTTCCTGTTTAATCTTGTTATTTTTTTTAAAGAACTGCATATTTTAATTCTTAGGTTTTAATTTCTGACATCATACGTAGAAAGATATAAAATACCCCTAGAAGGGAGCTCTGGTGTAGTCAGTAAGGAATTGGTGGTTCTAACCCACCAGTCGCTCCTCAAGAGAAAGATGGGCAGTCTCCTCCCATGCAGATCACGGCTTCTGAAACCCTGCTGGAGGGTCAGCTATGAATTGGTTCCCACTCGATGGCAATGAGGTTCAATTTACTCTGCAAAGTCCTTGGGTTCGCAAAGGGTTAAGAGCTCACCTAATGGAAGGCCTTCCAGAAATTCCAATCCAGCCAGTGGCCCCTCATTCTGCTTCTAGAGGTCTTGAAAATTCCACAGTGCGAGTTCTGTTCAAGACATGGGTCTTCATGCGTCAATAACAACTCTTGATATGGTGTGTGGCTTTAGGGTTCACAGTTGTTAATTCACAGTTGGAGACCAAGAGTTTGAAAAATGATGTTCTCTTAACAAAAATGATTAAGAATAGTCGCTAAATAATCTTTGAGTTGGGGAACTCTGGCAGTCTGGTCGGTAGGGAGTTGTACTGTCAACCCAACAGTGGTACGTTTGAATCAGGAGAAAGATGGGCTTATCTTATCCCATGTGGTTTACAGCCCCCCAAAACCTGCTACAAGTTCAGCTATGAGATGCTTCCTACTTGACTGCTCTGCATTTGAGTTCTTTTGAGCTTTAATCTCTGATTGAGTAGAGATTTGATAAACGATAACTCTTGTGGTTTAGTGAAAATCATGGTGTGTACTGGAATTGTTATTTACAATAGTTCTAAAGTATGAGGGGCGCTCTAGTGGCCTAGTGGTAAGGAGTTACACTTGGTGTTGTTGTTGTGTCCTGACCGGAACCGACCCATCGCTGACGCTCTGGTGGGTTTTCAGAGGCAGTTAATCACACGGGAGGACCACCCGGTGATGGTGTATATATGTGATGAAAAGGGACACTTTTTCTTTTTTAAGCCTATTTTGTGTGTAGAATAAAGATTAAAGGTGTGAAGTAATATTAGTCATTCTTACATTTGAACATAATCCAGTGGCCACAGATGTCAACTTGTAAGAAACAATATTGATTCTAAAAAAAAAAAAAGAAACAATATTGATTCTAAGCAAGGAAACTCCTAAAGTGCTTAATTAAGCCTAAAAATCCTGCACACTGGTTCTCCTCCGGGATGGTGTACGTGACAGTTACTTTGAGAAGCTTTCTCACCACTTCTGTTTTCTCGGCACTACGTACATTTTGAACATGGAATCAGGGATTACCTCTTGGGAGATGTGAGCTCAGGTGGCTGGGTGGTTAAAGAGTTGCACTGCCAGCCTAAAGGCGTGTGGTTCGATTCCACCAGCTGCTCCGTGGAAGAAAGAAAGGTCTTCCCTTGAGCTTTACAGCCTCTGGAGGGTCTGGTGGGTTATGACTCAACAGCACGCAGCCACATTTGAGAAGAGATTGAGGTTACTTGTGTTAAGCGTTGCTTGGTTCTTTATTTGCTAAGTGCTTGGGCGTGTTGTGGAATCATCCCAGCTCACAATGACTCTGTGTGGCCGAGTGGAACTTCACCACCGGGATTCCAAGCCTTAATTCTTACACAAAGGAGCCCTGGGGGTGCAATGGTTAGTCACGGGGCTGCTGCCTGTGAAGTTGTGGTGAACCCGGCAGCAAGCTGCAGGCGAAGATGTAGTCATCTGCCTCCATAAGGACGGTGGTGATGGTGGTGGTGGTTCTGTTGACTCGGAACCAGTCCATAGCTGACCCGCCAGCAGGTTGACCGAGGCAGTGAATGAATTGCACAGGAGGAGTTTGCCCATCCTTCCCCCACAGCCGCTGGTGGATTTGAACCGCGTGTCATCTGGATTGCAGCCCCGCTTCTCATCACTAGGCCACCAGAGCTCCCTGGAAAGCCCAGAGGGCAGTTCCACCCTGTCCTGTCGGGTTGCTCGGGGTGGGAACTGGCTTCTCACAAGTCAGGAGCAGATCACCCCTGCCTCCTCGCACAACGGGCTAGCAGCTCAGCCCTTAGCCCTTCCATCACCAGGATTCCTTGTGGGTACTTACAGGGGATAAGAATCACAGTTTTGTTTTCTTTTCCTTAAATATATTACACAGGAGACAATATTAACTCCTTGTCCCCTGCCCCCTTAAAAAGCATGCATATACACACACACTCCACACCCCCCCTCCCTCCCATGGAGCAGACTCGGTGATGTCACTGCCCTGTCGGGCTCCGAGGCTGTGCCTCACGGACTCCCACACACCACCCCCCTTCCCATCTGTACCTCTGGCTCGTTCGTTCTACTCTTAGGAAATGGCTTCATCACCTATAAAGTCATGAATTTTAAAAGTCTCTTTCAGAGACTTAAAAGTATTTGTTCATAAGCACTGAACTTTTCTGACATAGCATCACTTGTTGCAGGAACTCTCATTAGTACGTTTAAGAAATTTCTCAGAGGGGTCACTGTACTTGATGAGTCAAAGTTCCAGTTTCGTTCTCTCTTTTCCCTGGTTTAATTAAGGACATGTTTCATTATCATTGCCTGGAGCCTTTTACTTTATACGGATCTAATCCCAGAGAAAATTTACTGGCCATTTTCTCTGTATTCCAGGTTTCAAGATGGATTATCTTTGATTCATACCTTACCTTCTGGGGAGATTGAGTTGCAAATAAAAAAGGAAAAAAATCATTTTTTAATTAACAACCAGGAAAAAAATTATTTCTCTCTCTCTCCCTCTTTTTTTTTTTAGAGCCAGGAAATGTCATTTCTATTCTTATTTCTTCAGAGTTTTTGAAAATGGATTCATTGGTAAGTATTAATATTCACCTTTGTTAACAAGTACGCTTTGATTTTTCTTTCAAATATCTAGAAAGCACAAAGGTGTTTACTAAAATAGTTGTTAATTCTAGAGTGAGTTCATTAGAAAGAATAGCTCATATTTGAAAATACTTTCTTTTGTTGAGGCGGGATTAAGACCACAGTGTGTCTTACACATGTATGTTACATGTATAAACTAAGCATTTAAACCTTAAAGAATATTTAGTTGTTGTATGAGATGAAATGAAACAATTCTCTTTATCCAAAAAGAGATTGTACTCTAATTTAAATGAAAAACTTAACTGGAGAACTTTTTGTTACACTATTTAAATTGTTCAGGTGTGTTTTGCTGTGTCTTCACAGTTGAGGAAATAAGAAATGAATACCTAAGTATTATAATCATTTACAGTGTATGTTTGTCAGAGATGCTAATGTCTGTTGTTTAAGAGGAATTGATAGCACATAGAAGCACATTGTATCTGTAGAGACATTTCAGGTTCTTAACATTTTTCCTCTGTATTTAATAGATTTACTTATTTACATGTTCTTGAGGTTTTATTGTAAATAAATGCTTGCTTTTAACTCCTGATTGTGTGGGAGTGCCAAGCACACAAGGTGGGTACTCCTTTACTCTATTAGCAGCGGTGAAGCTTTTGATTGTTTAGGCTACAATTAGTTCGCTGGACTCTTTCTCTTCCTCAGCCTTCCCTATTTAGTCAGCTAATATTAATTACCTCACAAAAGAGTTAGAGGAAAAAGCATGTAAAAACTAAGAGTCCTTTGATATCCAAGCCCGAGAGGGATAATTCTTATGCCATGAACCAAAATTGCTTAAGAATGCATTATTCGAGGGAGCTCTGGTGGCCTAGTGACAAGAAGCTGTACTGTAATCCCAGAGGTACGCAGTTCGAATCCACCAGCTGCTCTGCTGCAGAAGGAGGGGCAGTCTCCTCCTGTACCAGTCAGATCCGATTTGACAGTACACACACACAAAATAATAAAATAATTTTTTAAAGAAAATGCCTTATTAGTCAGTGCTAGTTATTCATTCATCTGACCGCTGACCCTCTAACGGATTTTCAGCGGCAGTGAATTGCACGGGAGATTCCCACCTTTCTCCCGTGGAGCCGCTGGTGTGGGTTTGAACCACCTGCCTTTGAGTTGGCAGCACAACTCTTTACCACTAAACCACCAGCATTCCTTATTGAGTCTATAGGCTGAGCAAATGATCAGGAAAGATGTAGTATACAAAGAAGAACCTGGCACCAGAATTGGAGGAAGAGTCATTAACACCCTGTGGTGTGCTGATGACACAATCTTGCTTGCTGGAAATGAAGAGGATTTAAAGCACTTAATGGATAAAAGCCCAAGAATTGGACTTAAGGTGGCAAGCACAGCTCTTAACCACTGGGCCACCAGAGCGCCATACGGTGTGGATTACATCGCAAAATACAGCAAGCAAAACCCCTCACAACCAGACCACCAAGCATCATCATGATAAACAGAAAATAGTGACGTTATCAAGGACTTCATTTTATTTGGATCCACAGTTAACACACATGGAAGCTGTAGGCAAGAAATTAAACAAGCTATTGTTGGACGAATCTGCATTAAAAGACACATGATGTAAATGAAAGATTGTATAAGACACAGTTAAAAAAACAAAAGACCTCGTTCAAGCATTCAAAAGCAACGATAACACTTTGGGGACTAAGGTGCAGCTGACTGAGCCCGTGATATTTTCCTTTGCTTCATAAGCCCATGAATGCTGGAAAGTAACTAGGGAAGAGTGAAGACTTGATGCCTTAGAATTACGGCATTGGCAGAGAATATCAAGTGGACCACGGATGACTAGAAGAACAGACGGACCATGGACGACTAGAAGAACAGACGGATGTTTCTTGGTTGCAGAACAGCCAGAATGCTCCTCGAAGTGAGAATGGCAGCATTTCATCTCACATCCTCTACAGACATGTTATCAAGAGAGGGCGGTGAGCTGGAGCGGCAGCAGGAAGAGGAAGACCCCAGATGAGAAGGATTCGCAGAGCGGCTGCAGCCATGGCCTCACACAAAACAGCAGCGTTTGCAGAGGTGTCCCAGGGCTGTGCACTGTTTGACTCCCTCCCACAGCGTCACTCTGAGTCAAGCAGCACAGGGGCACCTCACAGGTTCCCCCCAAGCTGCAGTTTGTCCCTCAAAACCCACATTCTCCGTGAAAAGTGAAAAAACTTCAAGTTCTCAGCGAGGGAAGAAGATCATAACATAACTGAGAATCAACATCGCTGAGAAAAAGTCATGAATTGACCCGGTGTTTTAAGTTTGCACCCAGAGAAATGGAGACTTAAAATTATCTTTAAGTCCAAGTATAGAGACATGGCTCTGCGCTCTTGAGTTTGATTTATACCTGCGATATCCATGTAGCATTGGGAGCTCTGGTGGCCTAATGGCAAGAAGCTGTACTGCAATCCTGACGGCATGAGGTTCCAGGCTACCAACTGCTCTGCAGGAGAAGGATAGGCAGTCTCCTCCCGTGCAGTTAACAACCTCTGAAAACCACTGGAGGGTCAGCTATGGGTTGGTTCTGACTCTACGGTACTTAACAACAACAACAACATCCATGTAGGATAATTACCACATAGGGTTTTAAATAGTCCAAGAAAGTGAAAGCATTGTTTTTTCCAATTATGTGCATATATTTTTACGACTTTAAACCACCCCACGGTAAGAAGCCAGGCTGCAGTCTTAAAGGCATGAGGTTTGAATCTACCAGCTGTTCCATGGCAGACAGATGGGCAGTCTTCCTGTACAACTAACAGCCTCTGAAAACCCGCTAGAGGTCAGCTATGAGTCAGTTCCAACTTGACATCACGTAACAACACCGCCACTTTTGAGCAAAAGGGAGAGGCAAAACACAGTGCATTGCAATACATGGATAAGGCCTCTCCCCCCCATTCATATACATTGTGTTTTATACAATCTTTCATTTACATTATGTTTCATATAATCATTTATTATATTCTATTTTGCATTATTTATACTAGTTTATTTACAAAATTCTAATGCCTTGTTTTACATACCAGATCCTTCCCATTTCCCTCATCCCCCCCCCGATCAAATTGTGTGACCCCATGATTAATCCTCCCCACCCGCACATTCTCACCCCTCTACTTCCACCCTCCACCCCCTTGGCTCCTCATACTCATTCTACAATAATGGTTTTATACAGTATTTGTCCTTATGGGACCGAGTTATTTCACCATCTCACTCCAGTGGCAGTGGCAAAGTTTTAACAGTACACCAGTACAGCAAGTAGTAAATGTTTGGAGAGTGTGTGGTGAGATAGGAACTCTTATACATTACTGATGGAATTGTGGAATGGTACAACCATTCTGGGAGACAGTTTGGTGCTTTCTCAAAAAGCTAAATATAGAAATTCCATATGATTCAGCGATTCTGTTGCTTGGTATAAACCCCGAGAAAATGAGAACTGAAGCACAAATAGAGACTTGTGATCCAGTGTTCATCGCAGTGTTACTCACTTTCACAAGAATATGGAAGCAGCCCACATGTCCAACCACAAACGAATGGATTGAGAAATTATGGTACATTCACAGAATGGAATACTACACAGCACGCAGGAGTGATGATTTTGTAAATTACTGCCTAACTTGGGAGGGACTGGAGAGCATTATGGATAAGGCTTTTAGCAACTTTCCATCTTTGAAAAATGCTTGTTATTAATTAATGCTACAATTAATTAATTCATTAATTAATTAAAGCTAAAAACAGCTTTATTAAGGGGGCTTCTGGGCGGGGTTCTTTGGTCTGGAGAGAGAGAGACAGGCAGAGAGACAGACCAGGGAAATACCACCTTAATGCTAATTCTTTTTAACAGTATTTTTTTTGTTCTCTGTTTTTCAGGTCGAACAGTGCATTCAGTATTGCCACAAAAATATGAATGCCATAGTCGCTACCCCGTGCAACATGAACTGTATTAATGCAAATCTTCTTACACGGATAGCTGATCTGTTCACCCACAATGAAGTGGATGATTTAAAGGACAAGAAAGATAAGTTTAGAAGGTATTTTTTTTCTCCTTAGAGAGAAAGGTGTTCCTTTCTTTTCCCACATGGCAAGGATACAGTGGGATATCATGAGCTCCACCTTCAACAACTTTTATGTTTTAATACAGCTTTGAGTTTCTTGGAGTCCTTGACAAATGTAAACTTTTTTTTAATTTTATGTGTGTGTGTGTGTGTGTGTGTGTGTACCATCAAATCAGATCTGACTGGTACAGGAGGAGATTGTTCCTCCTTCTCCAGCAAAGCATCTGGTGGATTTGAACCATGCACCTTCTTGCCACTAGGCCACCAGAGCTCACCGACAAGTGTAAACTTTTTAAATGCTCTGCTGCTTACTCTGAAAGATGGGGGACCCACCCAATGGTGTTTTGGAGGAAAGGCTTGGGGATCTTCCAGAAAATTAACCATGAAAAACCCTATGAAAGAAAATTCTTCCTGGCACTCATGCGAGCGCCATGACTCAAAGTTGATTCTGTGGCAGTAACTGATTTTTACAAAGACGCATTCCACATCATGAGTTCTTTTCATTTACCTGAATATGTGGTATCAAGATATCGATGCAGATTTTGGTAGTAAACATGTCTGTAAGACTATGGTTATGTTTACAAGGTAATTTTTGTTAAGAATATGGTTATGTTTAGACGGTAATTTAAAAAAATTTCATTTTTAACCCGTTGTTTTTCTGTTAGAGATTTCTGTAGAGTGGTTTTTAGTGCATTAAAATTGACCCAGAGCTCAAGATAAAAATTGGTAATTATTTTTTGCACAGTGTACATAAGAGATTATTATTTATGGTTGTGAATTATGTCAATAATGATAAGATATAAATGGAAAGAGTGGCCTGAGATGAGGTAAGCCGTGGTGGTGGCATTTAAGGGCTGTTTGGCTGAGGCAACTTTGCTCTAAGTGTGATTGGAAGCAAAGGAGTGATATGATCTAATTTTGTTTTCAAAGATCATCCCAGTTGCTGTGTGGGGAAGAGATTTTAGAGGTATTATAATTAAATGGAAAAGAATGAGGAGGGTAGTGTAGTCTGCTGAGATGACAGGATGAATGGAAATAGTGGGGCGGGTAACAAGTAGACGGATTCAGGATATCTTAGAAAGATTTAACAGATGTGTGAAGGAATGATGGGATGAAGGAAAGAATTCAAGGATAATTACTGGGCTTTGAGCTTGAGAGAGGAAAGTTTTTGAAGGGCAGGATTCAAGTGATGTATTTGGACATTATGAAGATTAGGTAAGGTGCTTATGGAACATTCTTGGAAGCAGGAGTGACATCCACTTTCTAAACCACATGCCTCTGGAAACTCTATGAATTTTGATAAGTGACAATTGTTACAGGAAGGTTTCAGGCCTTTTGTTCACAAGGTCTCTGTGAGTCGTCCCCGACTTGATGGCAGTCAACAATAATGGGACTTTCTGGTGATAGTACTGGATAGTACTGGTGAGACTGGAGGATACTTGAATCTAGAGTCACGGTCAGAGGGAGGTCTGAACTCAAAATAGGTAATGAAGACCATAGTGTGGTTTGTGTTCTGCTCAAGAAATCTTTACCTCCCTAATGAGAGTGAAGATGTTCTTCTCATTTTTTCTGTTGCCTCAGTCTTGTGTTTATTGTTGGTATTATGAGGTAGGTGTTAGCATTCGCTTTTCCATATGGTTGTCTGGTTGACAGGACACAGTTTACTGCTCAGGCCCTCCTCTCCCACGGGGTCTCAGCCATACGCTGTAAGTCATGTACTGTATGCAGGAGTCTTCCTGACTTCCCTGTTTTGTTCTATTGCTAGGCTTATATAAGTAACAAACTCAGTTATTTTAATGGCATTTTAATATTTGTTGTTGTTATGTGCCATCGAGTCGCCTGTGACTCATAGTGACCCTATGTACAACAGCCCTAAACCCTGCTCTATCCTGTGCCAATCCTATTGTCTCTAACACACCTACCCCCATTATTCCAATCACTGAATCAGTCCATCTCATCGAGGGGCTTCCTCTCTTGCACTGTCCCTCCACCCTCCCAAGCATGACATCCCTCTCCAAGCACTGGTTCCTCCTGGCAACATGTCTATAGTATGTCAGACGAAGCCCCAGAATCCTTGCCTCCAAGGAGCAGCCTGGTGTAACCCTCCTCTCCAGGACGATCCTGTTCATTCTACTAGCAGTCCATGGTCTATTCAACACTCTTCTCCAGCACCACAGCTCAAAGGCATCAATTCTCCTTCTATCATCCCTAGTCACAGTGATGCATAACAAGTATTGCAAAGACTATGGCCTGATAAGAAAGCATTAAAAGATAGATAGCAAGCACTTGTTTTCCTTATAAAGAGATTTCTTGACCAGGCACTTCTCATTAGTAGGCTTGCTTGCATAAGTGTTGTTCGTTAACTGCTCCTTATAGCGACCCTATGAACAGCAGGTGGGAACATTGCCGGGTCCTGTACCATCCTCACAATGTGTTAGCAACTTCCGGTAACACACAGTGTGTTGGCAACTTCCAGAGAAAAGCACTCTGAGGTTCCTTAAATCTTCCTGTACCAGATACGCCTACAGATCAGTGTTTGTTTTGTTTCACTTGAGTTAAATGTAGAAAATTAATTTGTTGGCCATTTGTCATTGAATAGTAAACTTTTTTGTAAGAAGATTGAAAGGCTATTCGATCCTGAGTACTTGAACCCGGATTCTCGGAGTAACGCAGCCACGTTATACAGGTATGGTGACACATCCTTCCGCGTGCCTCATGTCACGAAATGCTTCACCACACCTAACACTTTCTTCACTATCTTATACTCTCTGTGTATTTCAGATGCTACTTGTGTAAGAAACTTTTAACAAAGGAAACAGAAAGAAGAATTTCTTGCATTCCTGGAAAAATCAATGTGGATCAACATGGAAATATTATCTATGTTCACCTAAGGTGTAGTGAAAATAAAATGTCTTTGTAAATGTACATTTAAAAAAATTAATGTAAATTTTTGATGTAGTTATACAAGGGTAACTATACCTATAAAGAAATTCTGGTGGCCTAGTGGCAGGAAGCTGCAGTGCAGCCCCAGAGTCACATGGTTCGAATCCGTCAGCTGCTCCGTGGGAGAAGGATGGCAGTCTCCTCTCGTGTAATTAACCGCCTCTGAAAACCCACCGGAGGGTCAGCTGTGGGTCAGTTCCAACTCAGCGGTACCCAAGAACAACAATAATATCAACATCATTGAAATATATAAAGAGACTGAATTTATCTTTATGTTAATTTTTACAACTGAGGAAATTGATATTTAAAATGGGTTTTTTCATAATCTAGTCCATCATATTTTGTAAGTATCCCTTTAGTACATAACCCCTGTCTTTTCCCCTTTTAAACACAAAACAAGTTTTCATTTTTAATTGGGGGAAGGGATTGCTTTAAATTAGAACAGTATTTCAAGACGGCAGATAGTCTCGGACAATATCCTGCTAATTAAGAATGTGTCCAAAGTGGGAATATTGGACTCATATTTACAGCTATGTTGTTTAAGTAACAAAGTGAATGAATAGATCAAATAGGCAAATGATCACGTGGTTAAAACAAACAGAAATGAAGGTACATGTGACCATGACATGTTCTGTGAAATAGGTTGTGTGACGTGGACTTTGCATAAACCTCCTAGTAAAGGCTTTTGGAAGCCTATACTCCCTGTTGTCCTCATCGCCACTGCCCTTGCTGGTGGGACAGCTAGCGGAGGCCAGAGGAGAGAGTGGAGGCAGCGGAGGAGGCGTGGGTGGGAGTCCAGCTTTGAGTGGCACCAGAGCGCCTTAACGTAAATCATTTTCATTCCTTCTCGTGACCATCCTGTCAGAACTGATGCCAACCGACTCTTAGCTGACTTCCCAGAAGCTTTTTGGAGGCTGTGAGTTGCATGGGAGCGGCTGACGGGTTCAAACTGCTAGCAAGTCACCTTGTTTGGGTTGAGAGCAGAACCCCCTGTGGGGTGTGGAAAAGGCACTGAGATTACCCTCAACATTAGGGTTATTTTACGTTTTTTATTCAAAGATACTTTCTCTACTAGTCTCTTGTTGATATCTATAATGCTTTAAAAATTGCCTTCAAATAACTTTTAAAAACAGACTGTTCCTATGCAATACATAAGGATTGTGTTATTTCTCATGCTCCAGTTAAAAATAGCAAAAAGGTTAAAATAGAGATAAAAAGAGAATGGAGTTACGTATTACTGTGGCAGATTTGAGTTTAAGCTTTTGCTATTTTTTTTTAATTTAGTTTGTTTATTTTTCATTTCAATGAACATCTACAGAGATTTTGGAATTCCATTCATTCATTGTTGCACCCTTCTCCCCGCACACCCCCCCTCCCCCCGCTTTGCTCCTCTCCTTGAAAGCTTTTGCTATTTTTTTCCTTTATACATTACAAAATGTGCATTACCTTGTTGTTATTGTTGTTGAGTACAAGGCAGAACCAGTTCAAATAGGAATTGGCTCCTAACTGACCCTCCAGCGAGTTTTAAGAAGCAGGCAGTCATACAGGAGATGACCCATCTTTCACCCACAAATACATTCATGAAATGTTTAGAATTACTGGAAATAAATACAGTTATTTTATAAAAAATAGCATTTTAATAAAGATTTCCTTTAATATATGCTTGAGTCCCAATTGTTGGCAACCATCAAACTACATTTAACTCAAAACCCTTTCTAAATCCTAAGTCTTCCTCTCCTGTCCTGTCCCTCCAGCCTTAAAGTTTCTACTTTCTTAAAAAAAACACCAAAAGAACCCTTTCTGTTGTTATGTGTCGTCAAGTCGCCTGTGACTCATAGTGACCTGGTGTCCAGCAGCTCTGAACCCTTCCCTGCCCTGTGCCAGTCTCACTAATTCCAACACACCAACTCCCATTGCCCCAGTTACTGTAGCAATCCTTCTCATTTGGGGCCTTCCTCTCCTGCACTGTCCCACCACCCTTCCGAGCATGATGTCCCTCTCCAAGGATTGGTCTCTCCTGGCCACATGCCTAAAGAATGAGAGACGGAGCTTCAAAATCCTAGCCTCCAAGGAGAGACATGCTTTCATCCTCTCCAAAACAGACCTTTGTTTCCTTGGCAGTCCATGGTGTGTTCAAGACACCTCTCCAGCACCACAACTCAAAGGCATTGATTCTTCTGTCATCCTTAGTCATTGTCCAGCTCTCTGAAGCATAACAAGTAATTGCAAAGACCATAGACTGGATTAGGCACACTTTAGTCTCTAGACTGACATCGTTGCTTGTCAGCACTCTGGAGAGAACCAAAATATCTTTTCATACCTTCCTCTGTTAACCACAGAAAAAATTCCCAAAGGAAATGTTATTTACCTCACACTGTGGCTTACGCCACATTCATCATTTGGAGAAATGTTCTTGAAAAAATAAGACAAACTTGAAAATAATCTGTTTTTAAAAATTGTTTATGTTACGTGCTTGTAAAACAAGTCTAATAAGTGAGGCTCTCTTCCCCAGAGACAAGACTTGGGATGTTCACGAATATTTGAATAGTTTTTTTGAAGAACTGAAATCTTGGAGAGACGTGTACTGGCGTTTGTGGGGGACCATCAACTGGCTGACTTGCTCAAGATGCTCCCAAGTGAGTTCTCTCTTTTCTAAAATCTTTTCTGCAAATGCTAAGGGAGAGACCTTTTCCGTGCAGGCTGGTTAATGAGTGTATTGGATTCTGTTTGGACAATAGCTGACATCTCTTTAAAGAACCTAGTGGGGGGGAGAAATCTAGTTACAGTGCTTTTAAACATGGCTTATCTGCCTTCATTTTTCTGGCCCTCTTTTTTCTTCCTCTTTTTCTTTTTATTTCTGCAGTAATAGTACAGTAGTAACTTCTTGCTTAGCTCTTGGAAAATCAACAGATTTTAGGTGAAGAAATCCATTTTTTTCAGTGGGGGGAAAACCCAACATACTCATTTCCTCTTAATTATTTCTAGCCAAAAAAAAAAGATACTTTTTTTTCCAATGGCTTTAAATTTCTTTAGAAATCTAAAAGCATTACTGCAGACAGGGTGTTCGTAAGTGCCTTTATTACAACAACTATGTGCCCAAAAGTTTTTTGTGCTTTGTTTGAGAAAAGTCTCGTAAAAACACAAGGAAGCTTGATATCTAAAGGAACCTAGAAGAAACGCTTTTCTAGAATCAGGAGATTTTTGTAGGTCGCGTTCATTCCTGACCAGTCTTTCTTATAAAGCCATGGTCACACTCTGGTTTTAGAATGGTTCCATCACCACAGGAAGATCCTGTGCCCATAACTAGTTATTCTTCTTCCTCACCCAGGCATGTCTCCTTGGTGTGTCCATACGTTTTTCTTTCTGTACATTTGGTAAAAATAAAATGTACACAGTGTACGTAGTCTTTTGCAGTTTTGACACGTGTCCTTTCGTGTGGAAATAAGGCTGGATTTGGCTTGTTTCTTGTCTCCAGGCTTTTCTGTGCATTGAATTTTCGCACTGCCAGTATCATTCGGAGGCAGTGGTGTACCCCGCGGCAGCCAGTTCCCTGGGGACTGTGGGCACTGGAATCTATCCCTGCTGTAACCAGAAGGTTCTGCGGTTTGATCCCACTCAGCTCACGAAGGTAAATCTGGAATGTGACTCGTTTATGACTAGCACTCGGCATCGCACTTTTGATTGTAGCTGTCTCCCCTGGTGCTCTAAAGGAGTCTAAGCTTAACACAGTCATGTAGGAAACACTTCAAATGATACTTGAATGTATACAGTAAAAAGTAGATGGTCTTCTCCACACCACCCCTCTTTCCCACACCTCTTTGGGAGGCAGGTACCATTAACAGTTTCCTTTCCAACTGTTAGGTAACTTTTTTTTTTCCTGAAAGAAGATCCTGGGACTTACATTGTTTGTTCACTCAGTGACCTATTTAGTTTGCCTTTGTGTCATTTTAACGAGCTGCTGTGTAATATTCCAGTGTATGCATGTATCACAGTTTATTTAACCGTTCTCCTGTTGGTGAATATTTAGGTTGTTTCCTTACTGATGATACCACAGTGATTACAGAGAACATCCTGTGCATTTATCTTGGTAGAATATGTGAGTACTGCTATATTTTAGGTTTCTGGATCACTAACACTTTTGAAAATGTTACATTATTAACTTTCAGGAGTGGATAAAAGGAGTCAGAAGCCCTTTGTTACCATTATCCACCCAACAAATAGAAAACAACAAAATGTGCCATGTAATGTGTAAAGCAAAGTTGTTGTTGTTGTTAGGTGCCGTTGAGCACAACTCATAGTGACCTTATGAACAGAAGATCTGAACCCCGTTCTGTCCTGCACCATCCTCACACTTCCTGACACACAAGAGCCCATTGTGGCAGTCACCGTGTCAGTCCACCTGGTTAAAGGTCTTCCTCTCCTTCGTCGACCCTCCACCCTACCAGCATCATGTCCCTCTCCAAGGAATAGCCCCTCCTAGCAACATGCTCAAAGTATGTGAGGTGAAGCCTCATCATTCTTGCCTCCAAAGAGCACTCCAGCTGCACCCTCTCCAAGATATACCTTTTTGTTTTCTCGGCCGTCCGTGGGATGGTCACTGCTCTTCTCCAACACCACAGCTCAAAGGTGTCAATTCTTTTCCTGTCATCCTTATTTCTTGTCCAGGTCTCAAATGCATAATTAGTAATCAGAAAGACTATGGTCTGAATCGGATGCACCTTAGTCCTCAAACTGACATCACTACTCTTCTATAATTTAGAAAGGTCCCTAAGTGCAGATTTTCCCAGAAAAATCTAAGAGCAGAGTAGCGTGTAAAATTCATTCCTGTCTTTAGAGAGCTTATAGTTCAGTCACTAATACTGACACAGGAAGAGGAAAAATATATAAAGCAATGTAAAATTGTACTTATGAGAAGTCTTTGAAGTCTCCTGAATTTGAACTAGTAGTTTGAACAGTAGCAGTGAGAATGATTTAGGGGTTTAGGAGTCCAAGGAGCTCTGGTGGCCTAGTGGTAAGACGCTGCGCTGCAGTCTCGAAGGCACACAGTTCAAATCCACCAGCTATTCCGTGGGAGGAGGACAGGCAATCTCTTCCCATGTAATTAACTGCCTCTGAAAACCCACCAGAGGGTCAGTTAATGGGTCGGTTCCGACTTGACAGGACACAGTTGATGCCTTTGTACTGTGGCGTTGGCCAAAGGGTATTAAATCATCAACGGATTACCAAAGGAGTAAACAAATCTGTCATAGAGGAAATGTCGCTAGAGTCCTTCTTAGAGGCAAGGATGTTTCTCATACTTCAGGCTTGTTATCAGAAAGGACCAGTCCTTGGAAACAGATGTCATGCTGGGGAAGCACAAAGGTCAGTGAGGGAGAGGTGAACTGACACAGTGACCGCAGCAGTCTGTTTGGGACTGTGACGGGGCTCACAATGACAGGACAGAATCGGGCGAGCTTCAGACCTGCTGTTCATAGGTTTGCTGTGAATAGTGGTTGACTTGAAGGCACCTAGCTAGCTCACAGTTGCAATCGCTAGAAGCCAACGTTGGAAAACTGTAGCAGCAAATGAGAAACTGTAGAAAGTGACAAAGAGAATGTAAACAAAAACCCATGGGAGGGCTGGAACTTCCAGGAACAGAAATTGAAGCTCCGTGACAAATGTAGCCACATATTATGCACAGCTGAAGAAGAGAAACCCAAAGAAACTATCCAGTAGGAAGCACAAAATAGAAATCGAAAAGGTCTAGAAACCTAGCAAGTACGTAGAGAAGCCTTTTAAAAAAAAAAAGTCAAAGTTTATTTTTCCTGAAAAATGCTTAAGAGAGGCGAGCTCTGGTGGCCTAGTGGCAGGAAACTGCACTGCAATCCCAGAGGTGCACGGTTCAAATCCACCAGATGCTCTGCCAAAGAAGGAGGAACAATCATTCGCCTCCTGTACCAGTCAGATCCAATTTGACAATACACACATAAAAAGAATGAATGCATGAATGAATAAATAAATAAATAAACATTATCTAAAAATGCTTAAGAGAGTTTAAAAAGGCCAAAGGAACAGAGACATCGAGGTTTGACAAACCTTATGCGTCAGAGAGTTGGACAATGACTTAGGAGGATAGAAGGAGAATTGATGCCTTTGAGCTGTGGTGCTGGAGAAGAGTATTGAGAATACCATGGACTGCTAGGAAAACAAACAGATTCATCCTGGAAAGGGTTAAACCGGGTGGCTCCTTGGAGGCAAGGATTCTGAGTCTCCATCTAACATACTTTGGACATGTTGTGAAGAGAGACCAGTCCTTGGAGAAGGACAACATGCTTGGAAGGGTGGAGGGACAGCGCAGGAGAGGAAGGCCCTCTATGAGGTGGATTGATTCAGTGACTGGGATAATCGGGATGGGAGTGTCAGAGACAGTGCGACTGGCACAGGACAGAGCAGAGTTTAGAGCTGTTGTGCATAGGGTCGCTATGAGTTGCAAGCAACCTGACCGTGCATAACAACAACCTACTGAGGCAGTCACCATCTGTGTCTCCGTTACTTCAACTTCATTCTCAATCAGGCAGCCCCTGAGCTTTCTCCCACTTGGAGACCAGACAATTCCTTCAAGTCCCTCATCTCATATATGTATCTCAGTCCCACAGTTATAGTGAGAAGGTTGCCACAAACACTCATCGGCATTGCAGTGCAGAAAGTTGGGTAATCTGGTCGCAGGAGCCCCACGGCCATTCCAGAAAACCCAGTAGTGAAGCTGGGTATTAGCCAGCCGCGTTGGCAGAGTTTATGTGAGGCTGGCAACTTAGAGAAGTTTTTCTCAGCCTCGTTTGTTAACTCTCCAGATTTGACCTCTGATGTGTTTGCCTCCTCGGCTTTTATTGCATTTAATGCCATAAAAGCAAAATACGTATGAATGATTGAAAGGAAAACCAGTTTGCACTGTAATCTTCCACTCAAGTAAAAATGAGAAAAAGACTAAATTGATAAATATTTACTCGTAAGAGTAATAAAACAGAAGTTACCACTGTAACCAGACCAGAGAAGTCTTAAGAATCATGCATGGGGGCGGGAGGGCTGGGCGGGGAGAGAAGTGCAGCAATGAATGAATGGAAATCCAAAATCTCTGTAAATGCTCATTAAAATTATTTTAGAAAAATATTTAAAAAAAATTCAGGTGGGGGGGGAAAAAAAAGAATCATGCAGACGTTGGGATGGAACCCGAAGGTGAGTTTTCCAGCAGTTCAGGTCGACCAGTGACTCCAAGAGAGAAAGATGGGCGGTCTCCTCCTGTGGAATTTGCAGCCTCTGGAAACCTGCTGAGGGTTCAGCTGTGAGATGAGTGAATGTGTGCATGAAATCACCACAGTTTTATCTTAAATGAAAAGTTAGGGACCATGTGCACTTAAAAACCTGCCGCACAAAGGTGGCGGTGACCACAGCTGGTCCTTTCCATTAAAAAAAAAAACAACAAAACCTGCCACACGTGAATGGGCACCACGTACGAAGGTGCTGCAGAGCACTGGGCACAGTTGACCTTTCCAGTAACAGATATGGGGACATTTAGGTATCCACATGGGGTAAAATACATTTGGACATCCGTCCCATACACTACACACACACAAAGCCTATATGTGAAAAGAAAACTAATCAAGCTATTAAAAGATAATATCATAAAGGAAGAGATTGATAAATCCAAGTATATCAGTCACATTAAATCAGTTGAAGCTATGAGGACAAACCCACAGGTAGAAGAGATTTTTAGCAACACCCGTACCTATAGAAGGCTCCTATTAAAAAGGTTGACAGTTCAAACCCATCCAGCAGATCTATTTTCAGAAGATTTGGAAACTGGAGTTCTTGTTAATGACTGTAAAGTCATCCACAGTGTCTTGTGAGCATGTGCTGTTGAGAATTTATTTTTAGAACACCCCTACAAACCAGTAAGAATAAACAGCAGTAGACATTTCATGTTGTCGTTGTTGTTATGTGCCGTCAGGTCACTTAATGACTCATAGCGACCCTGTGTACAACCGCTCTGAACTCTGCTCTATCCTGAGCCAACCTTATATTATCTCCGACACACCTACCCCGATTACTCCAGTCACTGAGAAATTGCATCCAAGAAAAAAAATCATACCATCCTCTAAACATAGGTGCTCAGCCTCCCCTGGGATTGGAAAAATGCACCTCTCTCATCTACCAGAAAGACTAAAATTGCAAAGTCCCAGTGTTGGTAAAGGAAGCTCTGGTAGCATAGTGGATAAGGAGGTGTGCTCCCAACCCGAAGGCAGGTGGTATGAGCCCACCAGCTACTTCATAGAGAAAGAGGGACAGTCTCTTCCCATGCACTTTACAGTCCCAAGTCAGCATCAGTGAGAGTGTTATTTACAAAGACGTGGAGTAACTGAAGTTCTCATATGCGGCCAGTGGGAATGTATTTGACATGTCTGTGTACCTGTTCACCCGGTAACATGCAAAAGAATGTTTATAGCCATATTTTTAAAAATAGCCCCCCCCAAAAAAAATAGCCCCAAACAGGAAACAACCCATCTGTCAACAGGAGAGGAAATAAATTGTGCTTATTCATACAGTGGAATTCTTTGCACTGAAGGGCAGGTTATTTTAACATGCAGCAACACGATTAAATTGCAAAAGCCGCATTTAACAAACAATTACAAAACTAAACCAAAGCATTCAGTGATGTGTCTTCAAGTTGTATAAGTATAAAATAAGACAAGGGTGTGATTGTCGTGAAAGTCAGGGGAGGTTAGCAGGGCTGCAGGGGAGGCATTTATGATGGAGGTGGGCATGGGGGCTCCTGTATCGTAACATGGACAGTGGTCGCACAAGGCTATTCCTGGGTATTGGCTTACGTGCATTCATGTCTCATGATCTTTTCACCATAAAACGTTGTCAAATGGTTGGTATGGCTGGGAAACAATAAAACGAAAGCATACGCTGATCTTTGAAGGCCTGTATCTCTAATTTAGTGTCTCTTACACGACAGGGCTGTAAAGTGAGGGACCACGTGGTCTCCCTCTGTGATGGAGGTGAAGGTGGGGATATGCTGTCCTGTCCGACCACTAGAATACTGGACGATCTGCTCAGTCACAAAGATGTCGTTGTTGTGCCTTTTTCTAAAGATACAGTTAGGTGAGAAAACACACGCATACCCCGTTAACCAGCCGCTGGACCAAAGCTAATTCCCTGGCTCGCATCTCAGATCCCCTGTCCTCGAGCATCATGGCTTCGAGAACTTCCCTGAAATTCCATGTTAGCTTAGTATAAAAGCAAACAAATGGTTTTTAAAGTGCTGCATGATCTCACAGTGCCCCAAAGAGAGAAAACTAGCAAAAGGGATCATTATTAGGGCGCTCTGGTGGCCTACTGGGTCAGGAGTTGCTCTGCCAGCCCACAGGCAGGTGGTTCGAATCCACCAGCAGCGCCACGGGAGAAAGATGGGCAGTCTCCTTCCATGGGATTTACAGCCTCTGCAAACCCACTGGAGTGTCAGCCGTGAGTCACTTCCAACTCCAAGGCAATGAGTTAGTGAGGTGTATCGGTGATGAAAACAATTAGGGACCCTTAATCCACTTTTTAGAGGAATTTTGTCAAGAATTTGAGAGGAAAAACTATTCAAAGGGAGCACTGGTGATTTGGGAGCTCTGGTAACCTAGTGGTAAGGAGCTGCGCTGCAATCTTGAAGACACATGGTTCAAATCCACCAAGCTGCTCTGTGGGAGAAAGATGGGCAGTCTCCTCCTGTGAGATTAAACTGCCTCTGAAAACCTGCTAGAGAGTCAGCTCTGAGTCGGCTCCGACTCAGCAGGACACAGCAATCCAATTTCTAAGTGTTTTAGTTCCTGCTAGCTTACGCCTTTCTGAAAGGTTTGATGCAAGTTGATGGGGAAGGTCTCTTCCCCCTAAGTTGGAACTCTCCGACTTCTGTCGTTGTGCATTTCCTTCATTGGTGTGCAGCGATCACAGGCTGTCAGGGGGATGTTGGCGAAGCCCTTCAGAGAGGAGGTTCCTACAGGAGGACTAGCAGTTCTTCACCCGGCAGGCTCACCCCCTTTAGGGTTTCTCCGTTAGGAGAATCCATAGCTGAGTTAAGAAATGTTAAGTGCTGGACTGACATACTTTATACTCAGGAACTGTCTTTCCCAAGAGTGACTTAAGAAACAGTCATCACACAATCTGCATTTTCAAATGTGGTGTTTTTTTTTCTCTTCTTCTTCAAGTGATGCTGGTGTTGGCCAGTATGAGGAAAAGGGTGTAGACTGTGATGGTTTTCTGGAGCCAAATATGCCGTGGGGCCCCAGAACCGGGGAGCTCAATGCTGTGAGTACCTGTTCTGTGTATTCTTTCTTTATAGAAACAGTTGATCCATTTAAGTGGAAATAAATCATTTTTATTCATCTAGCACTAACTGACTAATCATAGCAAGGTGTTATGCTGAATTAGTAGCACAACCAGAGGAATAAGGGAACTCTGGGGACCTAGTGGTAAGAAGCTGCATTGCAGTCCCAAAGGCACATAGTTCAAATCCACCAGCTGCTCTGTAGAAGGATGGGTAATCTCCCACGCCGTTTACCAGTTCTAAAAACCTGCTGGAGGGTTGGTTTCAACTCAATGGCAGACCACCACCACCAGAGTAATAGGACACATTCCTTACTCCTCAGTGAATACTAAATTTCAATTTAAGGGGAAAAATAATATGGTCTGACTGGTTTTCATTATCAACAGATAATAAAATGTAAGGACCGCAACTGCAGATAATCCCCAAATTAAAATGTTTTCACAATTCTAAGAGTTAACTCTTAGGACTGTCTCTGGAAATTTTTTTTTATATTAAAGTATATATTTTTTACATACTACATAATGTTGGAACACCATTTGCTAACATTATCATTTTCCTGTGAAACTCCAAAGGCAAAATTGGGGTGAGACTTATAAAAATACTGATAAAAAAAGACACTAATAATGAACATGAACGCCAAGAAATTAGGTATGCCACTTAGAGCTGGCCCTCCACGGAATGGTTGCAGTGGAACCTCAACTTGGGAAAACCTGCAGTCAGAATAGGATTTTTCTCAATCTCCATAATAGTCTATGTGTTTCCTACTGCCAAAGGGGCCCTTTAGAGTAGTGAGAGAAGATCTTCACCCTGAAACCCACAGCGTCCCTTTTC